TCAGGATTTAAATTGAATCTCATATACAATATAAATGATAAAAAAAATGAAATCTATACTAGGGGTGTATACTAGGGCTAAGCTCAACTTGACTCGAAAACTCACGAACTTAAAATTTTCAAGCTTGGCTCGAACTCGAAAGCTTGAATTGAAGCTCGTGAGTAGCTCGAAAAGACTCTAAATGAAAAAAAAAATCTTAAACTTAACTCGATTGAAGCCTCAAACATGAACCTAAACCTTAATACATAAAAATTTTACTGTATTTTTTTTTTAAAAAATCAACGCATAAATGTTAATATTATTAATAATTTATTTTAAAAAAAAACTTAATATATCATATTTTCGAGTTACTCACGAGCGTATCAAGTAGCTCGTTTCGGTTCGTTAAGAACTCGAGCCGAGCTCAAATATAATCTATTCGATCTGAGCATTTATCGAGCTTTGACTGAATCGATCTCGAATAGCTCGCGATCTAACTCGTCTCATTTACAGTCTTAATCTATACATTATAGATAAATAATAAAGATATATAGTTGAAAAATATGGTCATATAGATGTGTCAATTTTAAATTTATACTCGAAATTTCAACATTTTATATTAAATATATATGTAATAAATCTATATATTTTTGAATTGAATATTTAAATTTTCCGGCAAAAGGGAAAAAATTGAAGAAAAGTATCGGATTAGACGCGAGATGAGAGCATGGAAATGACATATTGCCTTTAAGCTTTAACGACGTTAATTTCTTCAAAATACTAAAAAGAAAAGATGTGTGAATAATAAAATTAAAGATAATTGTGCATTTTACGACATTTTATATACAAATATATTTTTCTTTACATTTTCGTCTTAATAATAGAAAGCTCACGAGTAACTCGAAATGATCATTTACGAGTTAAAATGATCATATTGCAAACGTTACAAAATGATCATTTAATTATAGAGTGTTATTTTATTAAGTATCTCGATTATTAAAAGTTATAAATTGGTCATCCAACTATTCATTATGTTCTAAACTCTTTTTTTTATTAAAAATTTGACAGTTGTCTAAGTTGAACGTTACCATGACGATTGAGATATGATAATCGTTTGCAGGGATAGAACTAGGATCAGACATTAAGAGGGGTTAATTTTCTTTATATTGAAAGAACAAGGTTCAATAAAGTATTTAAATATAAAAATTGGGAGGGACAAAGGTAACTAATATTTAAACTAAAAATGAACTAAAACGCTATTACACCAAAAAATTTGGGAGGGGCAATGGCCCATCCCACCTCCTTAATAGCTCCGATCCTAGTCGTTTGAGATTCTAAGATTTTATCAAATCACAGTTAACATATTAACGTTAACTCGGAATTTCACAAATTTTTTAATGGAAAAGGACGAGTTTAGAATATAATGAATAGTTGGGTGACAATTTGATAACTTTTAATAGTCGAGAGACTCAACAAATCAAAACTCTATACACAGACGATTACTTTGTAACTTTTAATAGTAGAAGAATTAATAAAGTAGTATCTTATAGTAAGATCTCATTTATGTACTTTACCCTTAAAAATAATAATAAATAAAGATTTAATTTCATATTTAAAAGCAATAACAGCTTAAGAGTTTAATCAAGCGGAAGGATAAATTTCAGAAGGCCTAGTGAAAAAGAAAAGCGAAAATGGGCATACGGGCCCGATAAAAGATTCATAAAGCGTTTGGAAGAGAGCAATAAGAGAACAGAAACAATGTTGAATCGTCTATCTTTCAATCTTCTTCTTTTCCTTTGTTGTAGGGTTTGTGAACAAGTGCTAACAATCCCTTTCATTCACATTTTTTTTACCAAATTTAATTCTTTCTCTTGATTCGGTGAAGATTATCGTGTCAGGTAAGATACCATAGTTTTCATTTGGGCATTTATTCCTATCAGTACATATCCTGACAAAAATCAAATTTAGGGTTTGTGTACGAACCAGTCGCTTCATTCTCAAACCCCAAACGGCGAAAGTGCGCGATATTTAATTTAATTTAATTTTACAAATGGTAATTCTAATTCAAGTTAATCTCCATTTGTTATTCTTCATAATTTTAACATTAGAAACTTTACTCAGAGTTCTTAAAACGTTATAATGCTGATTGTAAGCTGTAGAGGAATGGTGGCATTAGCTGAAGATTTATACGCTTACCATTTTGTATTGAAATTCCCATTTTGTAGGGGTGATATTAGCTGAAAATCACAGATTAACTCGATGTAGTGAAATAGTAAATCGTACAAGTGTTTATACATATACGATAAAGTATATTGTTTGTTGGTCAAACGTTGACATATGATTAATCCTTTGCTCAACCATTATTTTGTTTATCAATGTGAATCAGTAAGTTTTGATACTGTTTCTGGAAAGTACTGGCAATTTATTGTAGTTTTATGGTTTCATCAGTAAGGTAGTTTGTGATTTTTCCTGTAGTGCTGAGTGAAGTACTGTTCGATCTGAATGTGTGTACGTTTTAGTTATAGATGCCTAAATGGAACCTGAAGTCGGTCAGCCAAAGCAGGTGCGATCTAGAACGAGGTGGACAGCATCCCTTGATAAGATATTTGCGGACTTGGTAGTGAAGCAAATTCAATTAGGAAACAGACCGAACAATGTTTTCGACAAGAAAACATGGAATACCATACGTGATGAGTTCAACAAGCAAACAGATCTCAACTTCAATAACAATCAGTTGAGGAAGCACCTGGATGTTCTGCGGACGCGATTCTATAACCTCAAATCAGCTTATGATCAGAATGGCTTTGCTGCCATGGAGGACTCCTGTTGCATCGGGTTTGACCTGTGGGACGAAATCGGGGTATGTCTCCTTTCAATTTTCTGTGTTCTGATACTTTGACTGTTTTTTTTCTGACAGATAGTTTTACACTTACAGGCACAGCCTAGACCCGAGCCAGTCAAAATCAAGGACTGTCCCGTATATGACCAACTTTGCACAATATTCACCGACTCGTCTGCTGATGGGAAATATGCCCAATCAAGCCACTTTGAGGGGTTGGACAAAGTTGCTGGAAATGATACCAGTAGCTTAACTTCATGTCCAGATGGAGGATCCACGCATTCTTATAATCCATCAACCTCAAGATTAACCCAAAACAATTCGTTGCCTGTAAAGTTGATTGAGAGTATTGCAGAGAGAAAAAGAAAAAGATCATCCGAGGCACAACCTTCTTTGGATCAGAGTATAAAGGGGGAAGAAATGTCAGAGGCTATGGCAGGAGCCATGCTAGATATGGTTGCTGCTTGGAAGTCAAGACGGAGATTTGTCACGAAACGAAGTGAAAACAAATTTAGCATAACTAATTGCATTAAAGCATTGGATGAAATAGAAGACATTGAGGAGTGGCTCTATTTTGCAGCTCTTGACCACTTTGAATACCCCAACTTAAGGGAAACGTTTATCTCTTTAAATAGCAGCAAGATAAGGCTAACATGGTTGAGAGGGAAGTGCAAGAAACCTCCAACGACATCCGTCCAGGGTATGGGCTGAATCTTTTGGCTATTTTGGAAGTGTAAAGATTTTTACTGCAATTGTTTACTCTTAGGTAGCTAGTTTGTTCATACATTGGCTACATAGTGCATATCGATAGATGAGATGTTTTAGTTATGGAGTTATCAATGCGCACGGGCATGCATGTGTACATTTATTTTTGCAAATAGTGGAATCATGCTTTGGCATTGGTTGGATGTTAGTACGATCTTGCTGTTATTCTCTTCTTTTAGGGCATCAGCCCACCGCGGTGAATACTCGCGTGCTCCTATTGGTGCTCGAGTCAATGCTAAAACAATGTTGACTCGTGAAGCTTATATCGACGATTTTACCTGAGCATCAGCACGGAAGAATGAGCAACTCTTAAGATGTAGGGCTTGTTTCGGTTTAGGTTCAGGACATGCATTGATTAAGTTAATGCAGCAGTTGAGAAAAGTGGAATCCAAGGCTTTGGGGAAATCCTTACCTCACATGCCTTCCCTTTTTTTCCTTCTATATTTTCTTATCTTTTGCCCAATGTCCGACCCTTGGGGTCTTATTCTTTTCTGTTATTACATTTTTGCTCTTTGCCCCACCGTTTATGGTTGCTTATAATTTACTCAAAACATGCCAGACTTTAAGAGGAATGGTCATACGTACCCCTGTCCTCTTCGTGATACACGTCCAAAGCATTAGCTAGTATCATTATTTTTCATCTTTTAAAACCTAATCTCATAATTATATTCTAAATCCCATACTTGATTCAGTAGTAAAGATTGCCTGTATACATCATAAGTATCTCGTTTATTAGAACAATTATGACATTTTATTATTACTTAAAACAAGATTAGTATTCCTAGTTGGATTAGACATTAGTTTCTTTGAATAAAATTTATGGTTTGAATCAAGTATTATGAATAGAACAAACTAAGTTAAGAGGATTGTTTTAATAATTGATCTTTGCAGTATTTGATTTGAACTAATTAGTTGATGGATCGAAAATCAGTGATTGTTAAGAAATTCATTTTATTTCATAAAGAACGTGGACCTTAATCATTGACATTTTTTATGCTCAAATTCAGGACCTCAATGAATAATTACATTTATTTTACCACCGAGATCATTTGGTTCGTGCTCAATTTACTATATTTCTAAATTCGATTTATGGACTATTCCTTTAATTATTATAAAGTAAAATTTTGTTGGTGAAGTATAAGAAATTTGAAATAGGTCTTTTTGCACTGTAATGAAAAGGTGGGGTGAGAATAACATTATCAATATGACTGTTGCAACGACTTGAACAATGTAGGTCATTATTAATTGTCATCATAGTTGTTTATTACATTTTTAATATTGCCAAAATGTTGGGTTTATTATTTTCATTATATTGCTTAAAATTACATAAATAATTCGGTCATGAGATTTGAGAAGTGCTATTAGGCATCACGCTCTCTTTATTTTTTTTTTCTTTTTCTGATTTTCTACTCAAAAGTCTTTCTCTCTTTATCCGCTTCCGCCGACTTCTTAACGGTTAGTCGTCGGATACTTGCGGCAGTGATTTTACAGTTCGCCGGAGGTCTACTCCGAAACACATTTCTGATTTACTTGAAATCCTCACTCTATCGACTATTGCTTCCAGTGCTTGAGATTAACTCCCATTTCCAGATTTTAGTAGAGCTCTGTTTCCTGTTCAAATATCTCTTTAAAAGGTACCAATCGCGCTGCCATTTGCCCTCTGTATGTGGTGATTGATTCGGTAACCACCGAGGTCGACATTTCATCTGGCATTGCATTGCTGATAAGTATTTTATTGGGATCTTTTTGGTTCTTAAAACCCTTTTTTATTATCATTTTAAAGTTTCCAGCTTATCAATTTCGCCTTTTTCGTTGTTTAATTTATTTACTGAGCTCCATAATGTTGCATTTTTCTCATATGATTTCTTCATTTGCAATGCTTCTCCGTGCGCTACGTTGGATAAGTTCTTAACTCTTGATTGTTCCATGAAGTACCTAGATTTACTGGAGTTTATTAGTTGTGGTTTTTGAAGTTTGTAACATTACGTTAGTCTTACGCCTCTGTTCGGTTGCTAAAAAAACTGCGGGTAATGGACATTCCTAGCAGGTTTTATGTTGTTTTCTTTTCTAGTACCTGACAATTCTCGCTTAACTAAGTTTTTTAGAGTATTTCCTCAAGAGATTAAAAGGATCTACCCCTTCGGTTTATGGGGGCCAAGAAGTTTTCAAGTTTTAACTTTGATTATGTCTTGTTTGACTGGGATTTATAGCTTCTTTTGGTTTTGAGCACTGGAAGGATTCGTCCTATTTGGGAATTCATCAAGGAAAGAATTAAAGAGAAAGAGAATAAACTTAGGTAGCAATTATCAGTTATCATTTTTTGGTTTTGTGTTATACAAGTTTATGGTAGAGACTTGTGCAGTACTTGCTTAATTGACTACATCCCATGGACTGTTCATGTTTTCTGGGATTTATAATGCTGATTTTGTTACTGACTTTAACTTCAAGAAGTGTTTTCTTTTGTCAGGAAGTAAACAAAATGATTGGATCCCTTCTTACCAGAGGACTTGTGTATGTCTTATCTTACAACCGATTCTCTTTCTCATTTTAGTTTTAATTTATTCTTTTACTTGAACTGGATCATTTTTTTTTTTGCTTTTAAATATTTCGACAGGATGGTTTTTGGTTATGCTTATCCAGCTTACGAATGTTATAAAGCTGTTGAATTGAATAAGCCTGAGATTGATCAGCTGCGGTTTTGGTGCCAGTACTGGTAGGTCTTACAGTGCTACGGTTGTTTGTGAAGATTGTGCAAATGTTATTTATGGTGTAACATTTCTTTTGTCCTGTCTTCCCAATCGTTTTCTTGGTTTCAGGATATTAGTGGCTGTTTTAACAGTTTGTGAGCGAATTGGTGATACTTTCATTTCATGGTAAGGGATAATAAAACTAGAAGGACGTGTTACTATCTGTTTTTTGTTTTCTCACCGTGTTCCTGCTTTGCATTTCAAAGGGTTCCAATGTACAGTGAAGCTAAGTTGGCATTCTATATATATCTGTGGTACCCTAAAACTAGGGTAGGTGTACTATCTTTTAAAGAAATTCTAATAATACTTACACCGCCATCTACATGTTGATGCTTGTTTTTAACCGGCCCTCTGTTTGCGTTTATGTTAGGGAACTTCTTATGTGTATGACTCTTTCTTTAGACCATATGTTGCTAAACACGAAAATGAAATTGACCGTAACTTGTTGGAACTAAGAACTAGAGCTGGAGATATGGCAGTTCTTTACTGGCAAAGGGCTGCAAGCTATGGCCAGATTAGAGTTTTTGAGATTCTGCAATATGTTTCACAGTCAACCCCAAAACCTCAACATCCTCAGGTATTTATCAAATTAACACCAATTGTATTTGGTGCTGCATTTCAAGCAACAAACTTAGTTCGGTTAAATCTCTCATTATCAGTTTATCACGCATTAAACTGACTATACAGATGTAATGGTTGTATATTAGTTGAATGTATATAGTATTTGAAAAGTAATTAATCTATGCCAAAATTCATTTTGTACTGATTCAATCGTCTTGAAGTTTATATTCTGTTCTACGTGACTTCTTAATTCTCAGGCACAAGGTCCTAAGGCTTGCGAACCCTCTAGTGTGCCTGAACGTCAAGCATCTAGTAAAGCACAATCTGAGGCTAAACAACCGGCATCGCCGACATCCAGCACATCTTCAAGTCAACACAAAAAGGAAGTAACTGAAGATGTGGGACCTTCTAAGGTTCCTTTACAGTTGGCTAAACCACCTGCCCGTTCAGCATCCTTAAGTTCAGCATCCTTAAATAGCCAGAAAGTAGATACTGCAACCGAATCAACCAGCCAACCTGCTGCGGAAACTGAAAAAGTAGCAAAGCGAGATGAATCACTGCCACCTTCTCCGGAGGATGAAGGCACGAAGCCTCCCCCAAAAGAGACTCTCATGGAAGAAAGCATTCGACTCAAGCGCGGTAGACTAAGGAAGACCCGATCTGCAGCACAATAAAATAATGGTATCAGTTCTTGTTCTTCCAGGTTAGTAGGCATAGAATGGTACTGAATAATTTGTTATTAACGTTGATGTAAATGTGTTGTCCTTTAGTTTTGATTTCAGCTGTTGAATTGTTGCTTTATCGGTTCAAATAACTTAATATCATGGGTCCTTGTTGTCGATTGTGCGGCTACTGCTTTAGTACCACGCTGCTGCTTTATTAGAAGTAGGTGGGCTTTGGTATATAATCATTCGATTGGGTTAAAAAAAAAAGTTCAATTTTAACCTAAAGGAATAAATGATTAAAATTCTGAATTGGTATTCAAAGACAAGGACAATATGACGGAAGGATCTCCGGCCTAATAGATCCTTCCTCTAGGCACAGAAGATGACGAAACATTAGCTCTTACAAGTTTAACTATGGTTAAATTCTGTTATTACTCCCTGTACTATATCTAATATTTTAGATTTAACTTGACATGTTATGAAAAAATTTATCGAACGGGATAATTGGTGCTGGAGAAATCGACGGCTGAGAATTAATCCACCACGTGTCGAGCCTAATTCAACTTTGGGCGACCGAAAATGAGTTTTTAGCGGGAATCTCGCTCGACCAAAATCACGGGGCATATCCGTCAATGAAACTTGAAGAATACAGCACCTAAACAGAAAGGCATAACATATAATTTAGGTCAAATTGTGATTTCCGTCCTTTTATTTTAATAAACATTTAATACGTAATCCTTCTAATTTGATTATTTATTTATTTTTCTGATGAAATTTGATCTTTTATATTCAAATGTAATCAGTTAGTCCAAAATATTAACTATTATATCTAATAATCTCATTTATATTTGAAAATATTTTTAAGCATTCAATTGGCATATAAATTTGTTATTAGATCAAATTATTTTATTAAATAGGAAAAACTAAAATACTAAATTATGTTAACTCTGGACTTGTCTTGTTATCAACCCTTCAGTTCACATCTAATTCTTACTTCTGAGATCAAATCCTGACATACAGCATACTCCTACCCTCAATTCTTAAAAAGGAAAAGAACTAAATTGAATTTTTAGTATAGTAGAAGGACTCAAAAATAAATTCTACAAATAATTATATTATTATATTCGCAGTTAAACTCCAATGTCGGTGTTCTTGTGCGGCAAGAACTCACCAATTAAACAAATGTATATGCCCCAATCTATGGCTGAAACAGCACCAGATCCAGCTACCCTTTTTCGTTAACTTCCTCTTTAACTGATTAACCCTGTTTCTAAACCACATTCCCTCACACTAGTTTCAGACGTTTCTGCTCTGCATCAGATTCTTTTCCCCTGCATTTCTCTTTGGCATATATGTTGTCCAATGCGTATGTTTTGATCTAGATCTCAAGTTCAAGACTGTGTTTTTTTAAGTGACAAAAGAATGGGGGAAAAATCAAAGTCCAGGGGATTTCTGGGGTGGTTTCTGGTGTTAGTAATATTGGCTCTGGTTGTGGGAGCTGTTGTTTATACAATAAAGAAGAAAATGGACGACAAAAAGGATAGTAAGCCATCTCCCGTTCCGGGTCCTCCCGGCTCTATCGACAAGAAGTATTCTGATGCTCTCAAAATCGCAATGCAATTCTTCGACGTTCAAAAATGTACCCTTTCTTTAACCTCTTTCATTCTTATTCAAATTTGCTTCCTTTAAGGACACCCTTTAACTTATGGACTCAGATTCAATGTTTACTACTTAAAACAAGTGGTTTAGTCAAGATAATTATTTCTGATCTGCGACTGCTTATGTTTGGTTCTTTTGTTGGTAGAATTTATATTAGATGTGGGATTATTGCTTGTTTATTGTTGTAGCTGGTAGATTAGAGGATAATAAGATATCATGGAGAGGAAATTCGGCGTTAACGGATGGAAGTGAAGCGAAATTGGATCTGTCAAAAGGGATGTATGATGCCGGGGATCACATGAAATTTGGATTCCCAATGGCATTCACTGCTACTGTTCTATCGTGGGCTATCCTCGAGTACGGTGATCAGATGGAGGCGGTGAATCAACTGCAACCGGCTCAAGAATCGCTCAAGTGGATAACCGATTTCCTTATCAATGCTCATCCTTCGGAGAATGTGCTCTATATTCAGGTTACCATTGTCTTTATTTGCCATCTACTCTTTTGGATTGGTGTTGCTATATGTAGTACATGAATGTCTGCTCGATTGCATTTGAATTGTCCTTGTTAGCTTCATCATGCCTCTTTAAATTTATGTTTTGAATTGTCGGAGTGGCTAAGGGTTTCGATGCAGGCTTTAGATCAGGAACATGTTGGATTTTAGGTTTATGTTTCTGATGATGTAGTGACGGGTTGCCATGAAATCTTGAGATGAGTTATGTTGTCATCATGAGAAACCTTGTGGCACTTCTGCATTTGTATTGTGAACCATATTTGTCTGGAATCTGATTGAACAATCCTATGACAAAAAAGCCTCTGAAATATTTCTGACCTCTTACATTTTCGCTTCCGAAACTATGGCAGGTCGGTGACCCTGAAGCAGACCATAAGTGTTGGGAAAGGCCTGAGAACATGAAAGAGAAGAGGCCTCTCACACAGGTGAATGAATCTGTTCCTGGGACTGAGGTTGCAGCCGAAACTGCTGCAGCTATGGCTTCAGCATCGCTGGTGTTTAAGGCAGCTGACTCAACATATTCAAGCACACTTCTTAGACATGCAAAGCAACTTTTTAGTTTTGCAGACAAAAATAGAGGTTCTTACAGTAAGAACATACCGGAAGTTGCTACGTACTACAATTCAACAGGTTACGGAGATGAGCTCTTATGGGCAGCAAGCTGGCTCTATCATGCAACAGGTGATCAATCATATCTCAGATATGTGACCGGTGAAAATGGGAACCAGTTTGCTCAATGGGAAAGTCTTTCCTGGTTTAGCTGGGATAATAAACTTGCAGGAACCCAGGTAAGGTTCTCTTTTAGAGGAATTTGAAGCAAGATCGTAGCCTCTTGTTTTCCGTTTACGTCTATGTATACACACGTCCCAAGCATTGCAATGATATAAGAAAAACTTTGAGTTTTCGGCTTGTTTGAATTCCATCGATTGCTTCTCGTTTGTAAAGCTGCCAAAGACGAAGCTTCTTTGGAAGGTTTACAGCATTTCTTTAACCTCTAAGCATTTGGCTCAAGGACTATTTGAAGGAAAGTAATTCTTATATGTTAACCAGCCTAAGCTAAATGCAACTATTGTAGGATATCTAGCCTCGTTCGTCTGATCAAGCATGGTGTGCTTGGTTGGTGGCCCTCATTTTAATTCTCTGAATAGATATCACCAGAAGCATAAATTTTACGTAGTATTATTCTGTTTTTCTTTGAACATAGTGTCTGATTATGCTACATGTATGCAGGTTTTGCTTTCCAGGTTAAGCTTGTTCGGTGCCAAGGGTGCCTCTGGGAATTCCGGCCTTGAAAACTATAGGAAGTCTGCCGAGGATGTTATGTGTGGTCTTCTACCAAAGTCTCACTCTGCAACATCCAGCAGAACTGACGGTAATGTCTTCTTTAAAGCTCAGTCCCTTGGATTCATATTTTTGCTTGTAGATCGCAAATCCGACAAAAACGAAAAGGCTCAAAGAAAGTTTATTAACGAACCAAATGATTTTAGACTTGATAAATCAACATAGTAATACCCTTCTACTCTAAAATCTGTATTCTTTATACTTCTTTAGATTGTAAATGTTAATGGCAGACCTTTATTACCATATTTCACTTTTCTTTTCGGGAATTACATGTACTCTCAGATCACCTAAGTCGCAGATAAACTGAATTAGCTCGGACTCTTTGGATATATTTTGTTTACTGGTAGAGTCTTTACAATGCAGGTGGTCTTATATGGATCAGTGAATGGAATTCTCTGCAGCATCCGGTTGCTTCTGCATTTTTAGCTGCTCTTTACAGCGATTACATGCTTACTTCACAGACGGCGAAGCTAACTTGTGGTGACCGTTCATTCAAACCATCGGATCTTAGAAAGTTTGCCAAATCACAGGTGCACTGTTTACGTTAAGACTCAACCAAATATTAGCAATATTTGTCGAAAGTGTTACCCCAGTGTAATGACTAATGACTGGTATAATAATAACAATCTTTGGTTCCAGGCTGATTATGTCTTAGGCAGTAACCCCTTGAAGATGAGCTTCCTTGTGGGGTACGGCGATAAATACCCGCAGCATGTGCATCATAGAGGAGCTTCGATTCCGGTCGATGCGACCACTGGTTGCTCCGATGGCTTCCAGTGGCTAACTTCACCCAATCCCAATCCAAATGTAGCTGTTGGAGCTCTTGTGGGAGGGCCTTTCCGAAACGAAACATTCATCGATTCCCGAAACAACTCGATGCAAGCCGAGCCAACCACGTATAACAGTGCACTCATTGTCGGCCTCCTTTCGAGTTTGGTCACCACATCTTCTGCAGTTAGGTCCTTCACTTGAGAAGTAGTCAGAGAATGTATCGTTATCACATATTTGTTTTGTGTACTATATTGGTATACCTTGGTTTTCCTCCAAACTTTAGCATTTAGGTAGTTCATTTTACAGGGCTGAACTCGTTTAGTTGCCTGCACTGACTGCACTCTGTTAATTTCTTACAATCCTTGATTCATTTTCGGATTCGAACATCATCAAGATAGTCTTGTCTCAACTCTCCCCGTAATATATTAATTTACTCATCTTAATCTATTAATTCGACTTCGACTTGATTTAATCTTATAATATCCAAAAACTTCAATCTTCATCGATAACAAATGCCAATAACCAGCACCATAATCTTGACTTGAGTTTGCACTGCATTTAGCAAAAGATTGTTTACCGTTTCCTTCCGCAATAAGTTGTCTGTGTTAATCTATCTGTTTTGTTCTTCTCATTTCTTCATCGAATAAGTATATGAAGAGCTAACAAAAAATTTCGTCGAAACTTGAAGGCTCGTGGTTAGGACCCAAACCAGCTGGCTAGGACCACTCGGAGTATTGAACCCTGAAATAGCCTCCACCAAAACATGTTTAATAATCACAGATCTAGTGGACCGTCAACCGAAGCATACCATTTATTGGATCGAACTAGTGAGAGAATTCAGAGATACAAATCAGGTATAAATTCTCTCACTAGTTAGGGTCATATTCGAAAGAATTCTCTCACAGGAAAAAAAAATCTCGATCAAAAACCTTTGACAAAACCGTGATAAACCTAATAGATTTCTCTATTTCAAACCTAATTAATATCGACTGCACCTAGACACTTTGTTGGTCTATTATTAGCAATCACGACCTTAGGCCTAACACAAACATGTTAATATAAAAATAGCAATCATAACCATAGACCTAACACAAGCGTACACATACAGTCAATATACAAACCTTCTACTAGGCAAGGGAGAGGACGACTTCCATAGACTTCCCCAAAATACTCTCTTTAACAACTCTCTTCTTTGTTTATTTCCTGTTCGATCGACACTCGATCAACTAATGGTCAATCTTGAACCGTCTACGATAAATAAATTTATCATGTTCCCATCAACAATTGGTGCGGTGAGCGTGAATCACGTCTCAAACTAAAAGAACCAATAATAACGAATCTCCGAGAGTCATCCCAAAATAACCAGTCCAGTCCACTGTCTTCATCTCACAATCCATCAAACATACATATTTCTTCTAGCCAACAACAACATAACACGTGCGATACGATATATTGAAGATCGTATCAGACTTATCACGATGCTTATGATCAATTTAGTCACCATTTTTTGCCAACAACACCATCAACAATATACGTATGCCCATGATAAGAAGCTCCCACAGGTTCATGATCTGCATGCTGAACTGAGGTTTACGTGCAAGCATAATTTCAAGTTACAACCGAATAAACGATAACAAGAACTGATCTAGCAAATCCTCCAAAAGCTGTTATCTCCTAACATCGACTTTTGTCAATTGTGGCGGTGACTCATTGGCACGTCCTGTGCGCCTTTAGTAACTTACATGTTTTAATCTCGAATTTATCGAATATTATTTTAAAAAATGATTATATAACTGAATTTATCTAAAATTTTATCATAGGGCAAATTACATGTTTGGTCACCTAATTCTTATCAAGTTTTTTGTTTTGATCGTCGATTTTTTTTTGGTAAATTAGTAACAAATGGTGTGTTTTAGTTTTTAATTCTAAAACGATTACCAAATGTTAAAAAAATTAATGAAGATAACGACATAGCTTAGTATAAAAATAGTTTTAATCTTCAAAACTAATATGTTTTATCCATTTGATCCTAATTCAAAAATAACTCAATAAATTTAATCTTTCAATAAGATGGTACACGTGTCATCGTTTATTGACGAAAGTTAAAGAAATTGTATAGGACTGAAAGGGATAAAACCTAGGACTTGGGAGTAAACAACATTTAACTACTGAACTAAGCTAATATTTGTTACATGGTTGATAAAAATAACATTTAACTTAAATTATGGTTGATATTAAATTTTTATATTTTAAAAATTAAATTTAGTATTTTCGTTACTTTTTTATTTCTATAATTCTATATAGAATCATTGGATTAGGTTTTTTCAGCTTAATTAAAATTTAATTTTTTTATATTTATATATAAACATATATCTACATACATGATTGAAGTATATTTTAATAAAACCTAGAAATTAAATTATATAAAAAAAATTAAAGATATTAATAAAACGCTCACCACTATTCATTCATGTCAATACCGTAAAAAACTGATATGTTTCATTGGTATGGTATTTATAATCTTAATATTTATAGTTATGTTTAAAATACTTTTAATTTATAGAATAATTATCGGTACAATGATATAGTGTAATTATATATGGTTTAGCGTTCACTTATATTGTGTAAAACTCTTTTAATTTTATATTTTTTAGGATTGTTGAATTGAAAGAAATCAAAGGTTGAGATTAACTTATTGTTTTTTTTCAACGAATATATTATCATTTTTACCGTTAATCTTAGTCTTTAATTTATCTCATCTAATTATCCAAAAAAGCTGTAAAACTAAAAGAGTTTTACACAGTTTAATTGGATCTAGACCCATTATGGATTAGGATCCACTAATATTGTGTAAAATTCTCTTAATTTTACATCTTTTTATGATTGTTTGGGTTGAGAGAAATTATTTTTTAATAAATATATTCTTATTTTTTAATGTTAATTTTTATTTTTAATGATAAAATAAGTTAACTTAGTTGAAGGCTTGAAAAGGTTGATGAAGAAGGTAAGAGAGAAATAAAATGAGAGGGACCATGATGCCCTCTCGGAGAGCAACATTGGGGGTTTAAACCCCCAATGGGGTTGCCTTGAGGGATGTACCCCAATGGGGTTGCCTTGAGGGATGTCTTGTGACCTCATTTTCAGAAACCCCCTAAGAAAAATAAAAAATACCCCCACATGATTTTGTTTTCTCTCCTCTTTGGGGGGGGGGGGGGACAATTACCTTAATTACCTCTCTCACCATATATACCCCTCATTCACCCTCTTTCAAACCCACCACCTCTCCTTTTGCAACGTTTTGTTCATAGCTCCAAGTCCAACAATGGCTATCAGCAGGAAATCCAACAGACTGACACAAACAGCTTTGATAAAGCAAATCCTGAAACGATGTTCCAGCTTAGGAAAGAAGCAAGGCTACGGCGATGAACAACAAGGACTCCCTTTGGACGTCCCCAAAGGTCACTTCGTCGTCTACGTCGGCCAAAACAGGAGCAGATACATCGTACCCATCTCTTTCTTGACCCGACCCGAGTTCCAGAGCTTGCTCCATCAAGCTGAGGAGGAGTTCGGGTTCGGTCACGACATGGGCCTCATCATTCCTTGTGAAGAAGCTGTTTTCCGGTCTCTGACATCCATGCTCAGATGATTTAAATACTGGTGTTTCATGCAGATGAAGCTGCTTCTCTCATTATATTTTCTCTTTTTATTGACTTGTTTAAACTGAATCTGACACACCAAAAACCCATGCAGATTGTTTGGTTTTTTGTGGGTTTCTTAGATTTGTAAATCTGAGAAGAAGAAAAGAACTGGAAATTTTTTTCCTCGCTGAGGTATTCTGTGAGAGAGTTGATATATCAAATTCTGGTTTTAGTCTCTGTAATATATTCAAAATTGAGATTTATTTTTTGTATTTAATCATTAATATTCACTTTATTTATCAATTAATTTAAATTAAATCTTTCATCAAACTGATAATTCTCTTGATTCAATTTATTTTATTTATAATATGAAATTTCGAAGATAACATTATTTGAAAGATCTAATATTATATTAGACAAAATTAATTAAATAAAATATTATGATATATTTTAGTTACAATTTTGACTTGTCCACGCTTATTATTGATGTCATAAATTTTTACAAGGGTTTTTTTTGGGAGGGGGGAGGGGAGAAAGATAGCCATAATTAGGGTGTTAACTATTTGACCTAATAAAATTATAAAGGGTTAATTATATGATTGATTATTTATGTTTGTATTTTGTTTATTTTTTCTCACTGGTTTCAAAAAGCTTAATTAAGATATGATCACTTTCGTTTTTTATTTAATTAAGATGCAATCATCACGGATTAACTATCGTTAACTGTTAACAGATTAGGTGACGTGGTATTTTGGTATAATCACACATTCGGTCATTGTTATTTATATATTCTCTCAATTTAGTCATACTTTTAATAAATTAAAATAGATTTAATCCTCTAATCTAATGATGTCACGTGTCACTATTCGATTAGAGGGCTAACTTTATTTTAGTTTAATCATACTTTTAATATGTTTTATGTTAAAATATTTTGAATTTAAGATAAGAATAAAATATATTAAATTAAAATAAACTTGATCCTCCAACCAAATGGTGACACGTGGTACAAGTGACATCATTCGATTGGAGGATTAAATTCACTTTAATTTATTAAAAGTAGGACTAAATAAGTTAAAGTGCATTTAAGACTGGAATTACTCGCACAAACCAAATGACCTCAGTGATTAAAGGATTTGTTATTCTCACCGACAAAGGTATGAGCGTTTATGGTCAATCGATTGAGAGTTTTTGAACAAATATTACCCCTTGTATTCATCCCGAATTTATCAAGTATGTTGTTCTACTTAAAAGTTTTGAGTTCAAACACTTGTGTATGTCGGTGTGTGTATGTTGTCAATGATTGGTTTTCTTTTAAATAAATAGTAAATACTATTTTGTAATAATCCTTAGACTATTAAAATACTCATATTACTTAATAGATATCAATCAAGACAATAATGTATATATAAACATCGTAATTATAAAAACTCCATGTTCTTATATCAAATCAAGTAGTTACAATGTCACAATATATATGTTTTTGAATATATACTACATGCATTGAAGTACTCGTAAATCTTGATCAACAAGTCGATTGTGTTTAATTAAGCCAGACTTATCTCTTCTTAATAATTAAGTGTTTTGTTCAATAATAAGCAAATATATTAAAATTATAATTTAAAAAAGAATATGCAAAAATTAATATGAACTAATCATATTAAAAGTTGTTTCACTTCAAACCATTAAAGAACATAAATTAATTATTAATAATAGAAATAGGACTAACACGCAGAGAGTTAAAAACCATTTAATAATTTGAATAATACAAGATATAAAGAAACACTACTGTAGACAATAAAGATAAACTTAATTAATACTAACATAAAAAGAACGTAACAATGACAACGCGTTGATAATTGATTTTATTACAATATAAGTACGAACATATCTATATAATTGTAAGTATCTATAAATATGATAGAATTAACTCGATAATCTAAATTAGAGATATATAACTAAATAAAATCAATTGCATAAATGGTACCAAATTTAACCTTAGAAATTAAAAAAAAAAACTAAGAAAAAGAAATCTAAGGAGAGGTGAAAAAGGGTCTTTCTAAAAATATTTGAAATTTCAGGTCAGAAACATTTAATTTAGGTATTATTAGGACAAGGAAAAGCACGTATGTGGGAGGTGGGATGTTATGTAGGGCTTGCATGTTTGAGGGTTTCAACAAAATCTGGGTTATTTCTTATTAATTTATTTCAGATTCAGCCATAGCACTGTCCCTCAAGTTGCCTAATATATTATATTATACCTAAACTAAGAAGCATTGTTGAAAAGTATTGTCTTACTGTTACTCAAATATCTATAACAAATATTAAATTATAGTTTATGTCCTTATTAAATTATAATTTCAATTACTCAAATATCTTATTAGATAAAGGAATAAACCAATATGTACATGTGCAACACGAGTGGAAGAAAACCGGTAAAACAATATGTAGGTATTTTTATGTCCATGAAATGCTGGCTTAACACCATTCTTTCCTTTAGAGGAAAAGAATCTGCTAAAGCCTCTCGACTGTTTCTCCGGCGTAGTTGTGGAAGAAGTTGGAGATGAAGTGCTTGACATGTAACCTGTGTTTCGAACCGACGGTGATTCGAAGGGTGGTTAGCTTCGGTATCGGAAGGGCTGCACGGTGTGTTAAATGACTCCAAGGGGGATTCCGCGCCAGTTCGGATTCCATTGCTGATGCAGCAGTGTCCTATCTCCGCCTGGTCCGAGTCTTGCAAGCTCAAGCCTCTAGTAGAGGGTTCATCTTCACCCTTCTGGCTCCTCTCATTGTAGGGTGATCCCATCTTATTGGTCTGAGGGCGGGGAGCTTTCAATTGCTTGCCAAGGAATATGGTTTCTGACATTCCGCGAGCTTCTCGGCCGCAGCAGCTAATTCTTTTCCTGCCGTCAACAAAAACGATCAATCATGACCATTTCTGACACCAAAATGCACTAGTCGGAATTCGTTAACATTAATATTAGATTTCATAGTTGTAAACATGACAAGATGAAATATAGTCTCACCTGCTTGTTCTTGAGTCATTATCGGCTGCTGAACAAACAGAACATTTCTCATTCCTGAAAGTGACGGGAACAATGTTGTACGTAAATACACCGCATACAGAATCAAACAACAAAGATTTGGTAGTTAACTTTAAATTTACAAGAGTGCAATGCTTACCTTTGCAACTGTTCTTCTAGTTCCTTACATCGGGCGAAAGCATCATGGTGACTTCTCTTTTCATTCTGAAGCTCGTTTTCCAGATTTTCGATTTTTTCACTGAGATGGTTCACCTTGGTCTCTAACTCTGCTGCGTGCGTTTCGAGTGACCTATACGAATCCGCCATGCACTGAGCTGTGTCTTGGCGAAGCTGTAGATTTTTCGCAGAAGCCAGTTGAGATTTTGCTTCTGCTAGAAGCTCTGTTTCGTGTAATTGGGACTTGGTCATCTCTAGATTTCGGTACATCGAGAAAGATCCATTGCCATGTTTTCTTTCTCCAACTTCATTCCTTGAACTGATCCAAAGATGTTGTACGTTCGTTTTGATTCATATTCCGAGACCATGTTTCCTTCACCAGGAACATCAGGATTGGAAGTCAGATTTGAAATGTGACACAACCATTTGATATCTTCCTTCGGATGAATTGTTTTGATTTACCTTATTCTCTGGTAAAATAACCTTATCAATGCAATAAGAACTATTGATTTCCTCATCACTACTCCTGTAGCCGAGCACATTGAATCTTAGTTCACTGGCTTTGGCTAAAACAGTAGAAAGATTGAAAATGAAATCATCCAAACTCATTTGCTGCATAAGACCTTATTGTAGGTGATGGACAACTCATCGATTTTGTGGCTTAAGCTGTTTCCATCAGAATAGTCACGAAGGCCCTTGCTTCTTTAACCAGGGACATCACAAAGTCATGAATCTGAGATATTGATCTAGTTCTCGATTTATGGTTTGCAAAGTTTCTAAAGTCACCTTATCACCTGGGGCATAGCAATTTCCTTCTCTTCAGTTAAGCAAACCATTTTCCGGATGACCCCGCCCAATGCATGTGCCACCAGACTCATGCACCACTTCCTCAGAACAGCAATGACTGAGTGCTGGCTCAGGGTGTCATGTGCATCCTGGACGGCTCGTTTGATGTCCCTAAGAATTTCTGCACATCAGCATCCTTAGACATTAATTCAAACCATAGAGAGCTTCGATCGAAGCTTCATAAAAAGCAATTTGTCTGCATTAGATTCAGGATTACTTTTGACAAATCCATGTCCGTATACCCGTTTGCTGATGGTGATAGATCAAGCTGCTTTTCAGACTGGAGTTTCCTTACAAGAAATCTCCCAAAGCATCACCATTAACAGTTTCCGATTATCATCGGTACAAACCTGAAATGTTGATTGAACCATTTGCAGTAGAATCATTCGGAGAGCACGCCAACTTCTCCATCTCAAGAAAATCATCCATAAGATCCAGGTGCTTTCCATTTTCAGTTTTATTCGACTTTTCAATGCTCGTTCCCTTCCTTAATTGAGAGAGCTCAGAGATCGCACCTGTTGCCCACGAGTCGGAACAACTTTTTTTATCATCATATCCATCTTCAGATACAGAAGTCCCACTTGGAGAACTGCTAGCATTTCGAGTCGAGTAAACTTCAGGAATCTGAATAGCTTTTGAGGGGCTGCTTTGTTGGTTGCTGATGGTGAGTTGTGCTTCTAAAGTTTGAAGCTTGCTAGATGTCTGAGCACAGAGATTCCTAGAAGCCAGGTTCACCATGACGCTTTGACAAAGCTTCTTTGAGCGTCTTCGTTTCTTCTTCCATTGCTAATAATCGTTCCGTGAGGAACTCATTCTCTTTCTGGAATTTCTGGGCATTGTCAAGGAGAAGTCAGTCACAGCGGGCACGTGTGGACTAGAAGGCCTGGCGGAAGACCTCTTTATTCGAGTACCTCCATAATCCCGTCCTAAGCTCTCAACCTCTAGCTTCATTTGGGCAAGTGCAG